TTTATTTTAAATTTTTTGATAAAATACATAAATAAATGATTACGCCAACTCTTATATTAATTGTAAACATAACGATTATATATATTAATTAATTAATTTATTTTATTTTAAATAATTTAATTTTATCAGAGTCAGTTCCGTTATGAGTATCACTCAGAACCGCGGTTCAAAGTCGTTCGATTGGTTCGACTCACTTCGACTCACTTTGACTCGCAGAACCAGAACCGAACTGATAGAATCGTCCCCATCCCTACATACACTCGCATTTTTTTTACAACCTTTTTAACTTCCATTCGAGGCAATTAGAAGCACAAAGTAAGGCACTTCTCTATTCACTCAATAACACAAATTTGTTAGGAAAATCGACAAAGCTTCGCATACGTCAACTTCAACAAGCGGAATAGTTACATATATCCCTCTTGTTGAGTGGCCATATCTTAAATGCAATAAACCCAACGATTAAATCGCTAACATTCTATGTGAATGGAAGCATTTAAACTTCTCCACACAAATTCCTAATGCGGATTATCATTGCATCAAAGGAAGTTCAACTCCCATACAACACATATTACCCAATGAATACCGAAAGCTTGCCACACACTTAAGAAGGATGTCGCTTATTTTTACAGAACAACTTTCTACATCAGATGGTAACACTATGTTAACCCTTTTCAATTTAACGGTATATCAGAATTCCCCGTAGGTTAGACGTGAATCTGCTTGGTTTAATCGGCTACAAACCCTATTAACTGTTGATATCATCTCAAGAGAACTGAGACAAAAAACACCACATATTAAAAACTATTATTTTGATTTTTCCCCCTGTAAAAGAAGCTAGAACCAATCTGTACGTATTCGGTTGGAATTTAGGTGACAATCAACCCTTTATTGGCAAACTTCTTCAAACAAGTACCAACTTGGTGAATATTATGCATGTCACACCTACAACATATTCAAGTCACAGACCCATACTTACTTTCTGTACCAGGTGTATTTATCATAATCCTTGTACCAAATATCACCACAAATAAAAAATAGTAATAATTGTTGTTTCTTTACTATTTCTAGAGATCTTTGTTTTTTATTCTTACACTCCATAATAATAGTGTCACAAAGTTTCCTTAGTGTTCATAGTCACGCAATCTCATCTATGACCTCACTCTTACTTTCATCAATCAACGCAATAATCCTTACCTTCGTATTCCTGCTACCTCATTTACTTCTTTAATTCCTCCTTCTTTTATTGAACGATTTATTCCTTCTTCACACTCATCTACTCTTTTATCACTTAAATCAAACTTTAGTTCGTCTACTAATTTAGAATTTTATACAAATGGCTCACTCATTTCTCTCGGCAATCCTGCACTTAGAATGGGATTGGCTTGGCTACAAACAGCGCCTTCTACACTATTATTATCATATTCTTCTGCATTAGCAACCTCATTCCTCTCGTCTTCTACTGTAGAGTTAGCGGCTATTTTCACAGTAATTTTAATCACACCATCATATTGCCAAATCAATATATACACAGATTCTAGTACTGTGATATCTCAATTTAATCGATATAAGCTGTTATCGCTCATCTCACCATCTCAATGACCATTCTTAAAAATCACTAACGTATACTTATGGAATGGAATTTTTCAAGTCATCAACGCATTATCTTTATTAGTTACACTTCATAAAGTTAAAGCACATGCAGGCGACTTAGCAAATGAAGCGGTTTATAAACTGGCAAAGGCTATCCTATCATCTCCTGCCCTCAATTTTACAATCAACAACCAATCTCATACCTCAATTAAATTCAATGACCTTATGATTGCTTCGCCAATCTGGATGTTTGTTAAAGATTACTTACATGCAAATACTTTTACGATATTTTTAAACCTTGACATTAATCATCAGTATTCTGGGCTAGCAGTAGATTAGGTAACTACAGCATTTTATATCTCTGACAATAGTTCTTCATCAACTACCAACTTTAATGCCTCATCATTTAAATGAAAAAAAATACTAAGGCTCCTTGAGATGCTACCAATATTGGAAGTGCTTAAAATCTGCCATCCCGATTTATATGACAACTCGTGAAAGTGCAACCGTTGCAACATTGAATTTAAAAATTTTTCTCATCTATGGACCTGCATTTCTGTTTATCAGCGATTGTGTGCTTTAATAGAATCTTCAAAAATATACCTCGCGCAATTAACTCAATGTAATAATATCGATTACATTGATCAGCTTAATATATGGTCTATGTCTATGAATACACCATTCTCTTTTATTGATCTTATTAAAGGAGTTGTTCTGACAATTCTTTTCAAGTTCATCAACGCATTGCTCACGTCGTAAGATGATGCCAGAGCTGCTACATCGCAATTTATGCATTTCATATTTGAACACACACAAGTGATTTGGTATGAAAGATGCTCAATACAAAAAGATCTTGAAATTTCTCTAGATATTACAGATGCGCTCAAAAAAACACATACAAATGCTACGGGATATAACTTATCTTCTTCACATAATACTTTTTCTTCATCCGCTCTAATAAATAGAATGGTCCATTTAGGATCACACTGAACAAATTTTTGGTGCTATAGGGGCCAAGCCTTTTTCTTTTCTGATTGCTGGAATATGATAACATAGTTTCAGTTGTGTTAAATTCTGGAAAAGTGCAGAGTCGGTCTTGATTTAGATAGTTTTATGATTATTTAGATAGAGATTTTTGTAAATTCTGAATATTTGTAATTTTTTTAATTATTTTTCAATAAAAGTTTTTGCGAAACTACCGCACTTTAAAAAAAAAAAGAAACTTAGAATGGTTTGATAATGAGATTACATCAAAGGCAAATTGGGAGCTAACTAATCTGACTGATAGTATAGGTCAAGTTAATTTAGTAGCAGTAAATGAGCGTAATGCTGAACAGATAGGTACTGATGGATTAAATAAGGCACTTGGACAACCCGGAAATGCAATAGTCAAATTGAGAGCTGTAGAAGGTCTATGGGATGAGAACTGGCGTATAGCAGAAGGTCGTCCTACTAATCTACCTGTTAATCTACCAAATGCTGGTAATGGAAATACAGTAGTTGTAGCAGGCAATATAGGGTATTTTGAGAGATCTGGGATAGATTTCGATGAATGCCTTCTTTATACTCAAATCCCTCCTACAAGGTCAGTTTGCTATATATTCATTTCTATTTATTCAAACTTCTAGCGCCTTTTGACTCATTTCTAGATGATGTTATCGAACTTGGCTAGGAATTAGCCTATCTGATACCAAGAATTATACTGTTT